ATTTGTATTTTTGGGATTATGACACTGTTGAAGTAAATGAGCAATATCTATGAATATATCACTGCAAATCCAGCAACAATTCGTCTAAAAGTTGGCTTCCTCGATAGGGAAAAACTGTTGATCTACATACGTATGCTGTACTATATTTATCCTCTCATTAGTAAATATCGCATTCGCTGCAAATTTTGCTTACTGGGTTACTAACTGTTTGCGAAAATAAACAAACACTATTCAATCAACCACGTAAATACTCGTGAATGTAACTGTACATTTCAAACGCANTTAAGCTCCAGTTGCTCAAGGATTTGTATACCAACAACAACAATGAATAGCACCAAAGTAAGTAAAAAAGTTATAGCTAAAGCGTACGCTACAAATTCTTCAATATATATTCTATTTTTGGTTGCGAGTATTTACGGAAAGAACTGTTCGCTGAGCGCGTATGCCAACTCCTCACCTCAGTTATTTATTTTGCTTATTTTTGTTTTCTTATTTTCCTTTTTTTGTTATTAAAACGAGTCAATGGCCAACACTGATTGAAGTATATGAATGCTAAGGCTACCCCATCCGCACTTAAACCGCTCCAATACATCTGAGTTGTGTCAGTTTAATATCCATGTGACCCACATAAAAAAATGTATTACTGTAATTCTATTTACTTTATGAATTTGCGCTGAACTTTTCCAACAACTTTGTTGTTTTATTGCTTTTCTTGCCATTTTCCATCAGAACGCAACAGCGCATTTAACACGGCTCTCAAGCATATTTTTGAGTGTGATTGCGCCTAAAACTCGCACTAATCCCCATTAAGTAATCTACGAAGCTTTCATCGGCGTCGGCCCTCACCACCATCCCAGCATTGACAACAGCAATAAAATTGATGTCACGTTTTTATGACATTGTTGATGAGTTGTTATCTTTGATTTCATTTTGCATCGCGCTTCAGCGCACGATTCTTTCTCGCCATGCCGCGCTGCCGTTACTCCCTTCCCGTCCATTTGCACGACCACATTTTGTGACACTTTCTTCCACCTTTTTTTTTCTTGCTGCGAGTATCTAATATTAGAGATTTGCTTTTGCTGTTACTTTTCCCTCAAATTTAGTGTTCATTGCACACTTAGCTGCGGCGTGCTCATTTCATGTTTGTTTGTTTATTTAAGTTCTTGTGTTTTTCTCTTAAGAGCTTCTTTCACGTGCAGCCATAAAATCTTTATGTCAACATTCCTCTCCATTTCACACACACTCAAGAGCATTTAATACGCTTTAAAATATTAGCAAAAATGAGTGGAACTAATTTTGTTCGTCATCTTTCATGTTCAAAATTTCAATTATTTATTTAATTAAGTTTATACGATACTTATATACATACGTATGCATATGGGTGTATATATGAAATATAAAATGTGCATTTTATGATGAAAAAATTATCAATGAAGAATAGAGTAGTTCGTGTTTCACAGGGTGCCAGTTTCTACCGAAACTCGGCCGCTCCTTTTTTTAACGGTCCGAAAGATTTTTTCATCTTCGTTTTAGTCGCTGTCCTCATATAAGTGCGTCTTCATCTTGGCATTAGTCTTCGCATTCAAGACGGTGTTTGTTTTAGTTTTTGTCTTCGTATTCGCCTTAGGATCATAGGAGTATTCACTTCCTATTAGTCTTCGTATTCCTCCTCGTAGTCGTCGTCGAGTTATTCTTCGTTTTTTTCTTCGTCGTCGTCTTCGTATACATATCCTATTCATCTTTGGATCGTAGGTGTATTCACTTTCGTATTAGTCATCGTATTAGTCTTAGTGTTTTTCTTCTTCGTCCTCTTCGTATTCGTTGCAGGGCTGTCTTTTTATTTGCCTCCGAAATCTTATTCGTATACATCCTCATCTTTTTATTTGAATTCATCTTGATACGCGTATTTGTCTTCGGTTGGTCTTCGTGTTCGATTTTTCCTACGAAATCGTCTTCCTATTGGTCTTCGATTGGGCTACGTATTCGTATTTCTCTCCATTTTTATTTTCCTATACATTCTGATATTTGTTATCGTATTTTTATTAGTCTTCGTATTCATATTTCAGTTCGTATACGCTTTCGTATTTGCCTTGGTTTTTTGTCCTTATTCATCTTCGTATTCGTATTGGTCTTCGTATTTGCCTTCGTATATCCGTCTTCCTACTCGTCCTTGTGTTATTGTTCGTAATCGTGTTTGTCTTTGTTTTCGTATTCATACCCGTCTTCGTGAAAATTAAATTCCTTTTCATACTGCAGATCATTGAGGTTGGCCACTTTTACGTTATTTGGCACAGTTTCAATATTAAAATAACTCTTGCCACCTTACAATTCTTTAATAGACAAATACTCTCACCTACAAAATTAATGCGTTAGGCTTTCAAGGACAAAGAAATATTTCGTCGCAGTCGCTTTCCTTTGTTCGAGTTTTTTTTTATGTTTTTTTTTTTTTGTTTAGGTAGCTTGATTACATTTTTCTTGACAACATACGAAAATTACCCATAAGCCCTGTCACTAATTGCCTGCATAAGTAGGTATCCATGTGTGTGTGTGTAACCTTATTCACCTCGACACAATCCATCATTTGATATCCTGCTGCAATTGCTTTGCAAATATTTTTGACAGACACTCTTTAACCTGTTTCGCTTCATCTCACTTATTCTTAAGCGGTGCACAATGAGAATAAGTAAGTAAATTTATCCTGAATAAAACGCGTGCATTTTTTATAAGAAACCTGAGTAGGCAATAAACGCCATATTATTAACGTAAATTCTAGAATGCGTACTTCGCTGCACACATCTCTGGAAGCACGGTTTACTTACTTAAGTATCCCCTCACCAGCAAGGTGACATCCCTTTCTACCAACAAAAAACTGACACTGCAAATGAATAATTAACTTCACTTAAATGGCTTTACTTTGTTGTTGCGACACAAAAACCATTCAATCTTTCGATCTGGAAAGTTTGGCAAGAAGATGGAGTTGTGTTGCTTGCGTTGTTGGCTACGTTTTAAATCCAAACAAAAAGCAAATAAAAACATTCTCAAGATAAATAAATCATTCTGTTCGACTCAAGGTGACTTCTTATTGCGCTTTACCTGTAAGATATCTCGCTTTTCTCTAAACGTTTTTTGTTAACTCAATGCTTGCATGATTTTTTTGCAGTCTTTGTCAAAATGCTTTACTTTCGTTTCACATTTTCTTGCTTTGTTGTTTTGCAATATTTGGTGTTCGCTCACCTGCTGAGTTTGAAAATACTTACATAGTTATGTGTGTATGAATGTATGTAGGTTCGAAAAGCAGGCGCCAATGCCAGTGACAAGTCTACATACACACTTACACGCAAACGAGCTTCCAAGGCTGGCAAGTCTCTGACGATTCTAAGATCAGAATATCACCTTTCATTGAGTGAAAAATTATGCCCAAAAAAAAAAAAAAGATTCTACAATTTTTGTGCAAAAACAAAAAATATTAAAAGCTTGCATTACTTAAGATGACATGGCATGGCGCACTTCGGCGCGTCGTAACACCATATCAGCACATTTTTCTTCAGCTTTTCATTTATTCAATGACTTTCAAGTATTCCTCCCACATAATTTTTTTTCGAATTTTTAAAGACATTGGCTTAGTTGTGATTTAGGAGGCACGCAGACGAGCTAAGTCGAAAATGTAAATTTTTATGTTTTCTCAAATAAAAGTGTGCTGCAAAAAGATTTTAAGGAAAGCACTGAAGTACATACAAGTACTACAATTAAGTACCATTATCTTCAATAAGTACATATCCACGCACTGTAATTTTATCTTTGGTAGATGGCAGCTTTATTGCTGGGTATAGATGCATTCCAAATTTGAAATGAAGGCGGCACTCTTGCAAGGTACTCGCTTTTACATTTCTTACGCTGTTCTTACTTAAAATATCTTCCACCGGAAGAATAAGTGCAGATAGTCCACATGAAGTTGTTAGACTGAGTGCTAAAAAAAAATTGAGCAGACTACTAATATTCGCCTCATTAAGTACCTCGAGAGTGTTTATGATATACCAGCCGATATGTTTAAACCATATCAGCTGAGAATAAAGTCCTTTCGTCTTCGTCTTTCTCCAAAAAAAATAATTGTGGTAATAGGGTTCCGAAACGGTATTAAGCCATACCACCACTTGAGTTCCTCATGTACTGTGCCCCAGCAGGACACCTGTGAGAACTGACGAATTTGACGAATTAGCAAGCCGCTAAAACTGATCTATGCACACACGCCCGACTTCATACCTCTCAGAAGAACTTTGCATCTTCGCATGTCGGAGTTTTTGTGCAGAACTCGCTGACCACAGGCTTCCCCAGAAACGTCTATGTCCTCCGGGTCAGGAATGACAATCTCAGAGATGCATGTCAGTTCATCGAGAATGAAGTTTTTCATATTGTCTCCACAGCCTATCACTCAAATCAACTTAATTCGAAGATAAACCGCTGCAGAAATGTTGTATTCTTTCGAGAGTTCTTTACAGACCACATCTGCCCCAACTTTGCGGTTCGACTTCAAGCCATCCGTGAAAAAATTATTTGGAATTCTATTTCAGTGATTGCCACTCTCATTCGACGCCAGCCGTATCTTCAGGTATGAAATCGAAGTCTCCACAGATTACCGACTACAACGGATTGAAGTATCTAAATAGAAAAGCAATAGCAACATCTGTTTTGAGTTGTCACCCACCAGACCACAAAAAATGTTCACTGTTGCGCCATCTGTTGGAAGTTTTAAGAAACAGATAAGTGCAGAAATGAATTCTTTATACAGTAGTTAAGCACATCTTTACGACACTACGGCGAAATGCTAAGAAAACCTATTTTCGTAATTTGGCAAACTACAAATTGATTTTAGACCAATGTTATATTCGGAAAATTTAATACAAATTGACCCGCCCTAATATACATTTATTAAAATTTAATAATCTCATTTACACTTCGTTTTATTTATTTACACAAATGATTCATTATCCACTTGTTTGCTCTCAAAGTCTTCTGCATCTGTTGCCTTCCAGTCGACAGCAATGCCTTGGACAAACAACAGCTCGATAAACACGCGTCGCGGTATAGCAATTCAAAGGCGGGATTTCACCGCTTTGGCGACAGCGTAATTCGCAAATACGTTGGCCGGGCTTTGTGAGGCGTATTTGTATTAGACAGGCTAAAAAAAGAAATTATGTAGAGATTTATATGTGCTAATAAATACATTTAAGCTGAAAACATGTGTCAATACAAATAAAATTAATAGAATTTGTTTTTCTTTTTTTATGAGAAGCGTATTTTCTTTTACGCTGACATTTTCTTCTTCTTGTTATTTGACACTAAAATAAAAAAAGCCTTCACTAATTGCCTTCTTCCTGCGCAAAGTTCTTCTACTTGCGCAATCGAATCCCTCCATGGTCGATGTTTCCTTAGGAGCACTTGATATGACTGGGATACCGCGGCAGTCATATCGACTTTAAAATACTGCTCTTGACAAAAGTTATTATTTGGTCGTCCAGACCAGCTTTATATAAGGGTAGTATTGCTGTTGGTTTCCAACTACAAATCATAATTAACGAATTTTTTAAACCCTCGTTTATTTTGTAACAGCTCGGGTACAGGCCGGCAATTGTATTCAACGTCATCCTGCACAACCGTTTGGTTTGAGCGTGGCTGCCAAATGTTGACAGAAGGTCGTATAGACAGCTTCTCTTCAATTTATGACGATCTAGAGTATTTTCTTGGTTTTCAGGCTATGTGAAAATGACGAATGTGTGAACGACTCAACATACTTACCTAGCCTTGACAGTGCAGTGCGCCTTCATACATCGAAATACATTGCAGAAATTAGGCCTGAAATCGTTTGACCTAACACTTCTCAAAAGATTTTCAACCACATTCATGCCTGCTAAAATCGTAAGCCCATCACTTTCTCGAACCTTTTTCCTCTTCATTCGTTATCCTCAATTGCAACTTGCATTCGTTCCACCAGATATTGCTGCACGTGTGATCTTAGCACTATTCAATAAATGACTCAAGTGTACTCTTAAAATCTCTAGTACCCTTTGCAACAAAATTAGCCCTATTGAAGGATCTTTGCTACATCAAATAAACTTTAAATGTACTCCAAATTTGTTTAAGAAAAAAACATTTTCATACAAAAAAAATATTTCTTTTTATTTCTCCAAATACAATTTTTGGTGAAGATTTTGTATGTTTTGGTGCATTTTGGAACGATTGTTCGTCAGCGAACCCAAACCGGTTTCGGCAATTGTCAGTATCCTTTTCGTACTGCCTGGTTCATGTTCTTCCATCTTTTATCTACAACACCAACAAATTTATGTTTCTTTGTAATCCTGACCAACCTTATCTCTCCATGCTATCCTTGCCTCTTCAATTTAATACAACCATTACCTTCGCGGCAACAACCAGGTGGACATGTCAGCACTTGAAGATCTTTAAATGGCCGAATGCAAGTGGCTGGTCGTGGTGGGCAATTACGAATACAATAACGCTGGCGAGAACGAATGACCACCATCGAATGTCGACACCGCTGTGGCGTATGCCGGACATAATGTCAAATTTAACATACATATGTATGTGTATATCGTCGATGATACTGTAAAAGCTCTATGTCAATTATTACGTCTGTATCTGATCGCTTCTGTTAATCGGGAATCTTCAGCAGCCAAAAGCACACAGTTTTGTCATTAGTTTATGGGTGTATAAGGATTTGTAAATGCATTCTGGTGCAGCTAACAGACCATCCAAATGCTAAGGGTATTATTTGCATAGACCGTTTTGCAGTATCACCGACGATTTGTAGTTAAAGTAGTAGGTATCAAGTTAAATTTTAACTAACTTAGTTACTGAAACCTTTCTCACCTTGAATTATAGCAACTGTCAATAAAAGTAGCACAACAGTCAAGTGAAGAAGTTTCGCCATGATCTTAACTGAGTGTAATTACTGTTTTAAATAATATATAAATTCTGAATTTCGGTGAGTAGTAACTTAGCCATTTATACTTAAAAAATATAGGCGGAAGTAAGGCATATGCATAATAGCGATCAACTTTTTAGTGGTTTCCTTATTAAATATGAATAAAGCTTTCACTTAAACTCTTTCAATCATGTCATTGTTATGGTAATGCTCTTATTAAGACGCTTGCAATACAAATTTTTTTATTGGGCATAGCGAGTATCCATTTTCATGTAATAAACACCACACAGATTTAAGTAAACTATAGACATTTCTGTAATTTTTTCAAAATTGATTTTAAAATGAAGCATTAAACCCGAAAATTTCCAAGAAATACAAAAAATCACGAAAATTACCAAAAAATCCGTAAACCCCACTAAAAAGTCGCGACTTAAACAATTAAGTAATGGGTGCACTACGATTCTGCCCGACAGAAACGCTAAACGTTATCCTCAACCTTATCCTTAAGGAACTTCGCCTGAAATCAGTCGCAGAAAAATCGACGATCAGACTCAGAGAGGCAGGTTTAGACACTTCGAGCCTGGATTGGTCATTAACGAAATTTTATTAGTTAGGACGTCCGACTACACGGTAACCAGTCTTGGCTTCAAATGCAGCGCGCAAGTGCGAAGAGAATGTGGAAGTAATCAAGTTTCCCATAAATGTATAATATACACACATACATACATATACTACAAATCGATGGCTGAGTGGAAGATCGACCTATCTCGACAGTCAGTTCGAAAACGCCCTATCTCAGAAAATTTTTCAACAACGCCCTACTTGTGAATTCGATTGAAAAATGTCCTATCTTAGCTGCCGATTCAAAAACGCCCTATCTCAGCTTATTTTCAATGTATTTTCATTTGAAATAGGGCGTTTTTGAACCGAATTATGAAATAGGGCATTATTCAACTAAATTCCGAGATAGGGTGTTTTTCAATAAAATTCTGAAGTAGGGCGTTTTTTGAAAAGTTTCCTGAGATCGGGAGTTTTCGAACTGGCTGTCGAGATATATCGATCCTCCACTCAGCCATCGATATGTACATTGTATATAATTTTGCACAAAAAGAAAATTTTTATGTTTTTTTTATTCATATTTTTTAAGATCTATATTTCAATTAAAAAAAAGTGAAGTTATGTGCATAGAGTGTTAATCCTAACATTGCTCATTTCTCTTCACTATGGCCGCCTGCCATGAGCAATACAATTTCTGCCCGAGCGACAGCAGCCAGGTGAACATGATTCCACTACGATATTTCGAATCGCCGTAAGGCAGGCAGAAGGCCTTGGCGGACAATTGATAACACAAAAACGTTGACCAGGGCGCAGAGGTATTTTCACGGTCCGACAGCCTTGAGCTGCATGAAATAAAATTGCGCATTGAAAAGAATAACACTTGTATTTTCTAATGTAAAAGTTCCAAGATTTTCCTTACCTTGCATACATGCTGCTCCGAATAAGAGTAGAACTACCGTTATGTGAAAAATTTTGGTCATTTTCTTCAATAGGTGCAAGAGTGGTGCTGATTGGAAAATTAATTCTGAATTCAATTCGTTCAAGTCAGCCTATTTATACACATATATTTACTTATAAATTGATAATGTAGAAATTAATATGGAGAAAAGAGTACACACTCGTACACATATATATGTACATACAAAATATATGTACAATGCTCATTTATATGCAACTCTTTTTTATCTTTATAATTGTTGTCTTTTTATGTGATTAACAGTATGCCACGCATTGTCAGCGTTGCGCCAAAATCTCTTCCTGGTTCATAAACTTCAGTTAAATGTTTAATACGATCACCTCTTTGAAAAAATTGGTAAACAAACCCGCAAAGCCTTTTATATACGTACATATATGTATAGCAGAAACGGCGAACTTCGCCCCGCCCAAAATAATTTTTTTTTTTTTGGCATTTGTTACAACGTTTATCCTCCATTGTCATCTTAAATAACCGAACGAAAGCGTTATGTCCGTGAAGAATTTCTTGCGGCAACAATGATCCGGTTCGATGGTGAATCGTCCTGCAAACTATATAGTACAAGTGATGGAAATTTCAAAATGGGAGAAATCCAATATATTAGATATACTTATTTCAAACGAAATACCATAAATGTCTTACAATTGAACTTGTAGTCATTCATAAAGAATCGACTTTATTTTGGTTAGCCGCCTTAAAGCAAGGACCGCAATGGTTATGGTGGTAGACTTAACGGTGGTAAATTTATTTTAATACCGTTACCAATATACATCTCGATTATGAGGCAAATCGGACCATAAGTACGATTTTTTAGAATAGATCGGTCCCTGGTCCACTTACCGGAAAAAATGATCCTATACGCTAATCTGGGCAAAAACCTACCTACATACTAAATTGTAAGCAAATCGGCCCATAAATAAGACCTTTTCGAATAGATCGATCCCTGGTCCACTTCCGGGAAAAAAAAAGTTCCTATACGCTAATGTAGGCAAAAAGCTACCAAATTTTAATCAAATCGGACCATAATAAACCTTTTTCCAATAGATCGATCCCTGGTCGACCTACCGAAAAAAGAAAAATTTTTTGGCCTGTGACATGGTGGTTGCTAATAGCTACCAGCCAGAAAATCGGACCAGCCGTTCGCGAGATTACCTGTTACAAAAAAAAAGGAACTTTTCTTTATATAATTAGTATAGACACAGATATATACGTATCAGAGCTGTAAAATGATTGAATCAACATAGTCTGCATTCACTCGG